AGACCATTGACGATATTAGAAACACATGGGCCGATAAGTTTGTTAAAGTTAGAAGTAGGCAAGTTTAGTTATTAATTTAGTACTTAGTTTAGTAGTTAGTTTAAGTAGTTAGTTTAGTTACTTTACTAGTTAGTTTAGTTACTTTACTAGTTAGTTTACTAGTTAGTTTATTAGTTAGATTAGTAGTTAGTGTATTTGGTAGATAAGTAGTTGGATACACTATAATTTTGGATACAATTTTATTTTTGGATGCACATTCAATTGTTTATATCTTGTACATTGTCTCACTGGGTTGTATTCAAATTTGCGGGTATGTATATATACAAACATTGGGTACCCTGTATAAACAAAGCGTCCATTTTAAAAAAAAAATAGACTTTCTACGTCGGTTCTGCCAATAACCGACATAGAAAAGCTAATATCAACGTCGGTTCATACCATAACCGACGTAGTAAACATTACTCGCTTGAGCGACGAGTGTACTCGCTTGAGCGACGAAAGCTTCAAACAAAGGGGACTCTCGGGTTCCATCTCGCTTGAGCAACGAGTGTACTCGCTTGAGCGACGAAAGCTTGAAACAAAGGGGACTCTCAGGTTCCATCTCGCTCAAGCGAGCGTTTCAACGTCGGTTATCCAGACCCGACGTTGAAAGTATATACTTTCAACGTCGGTTATCTATACCCGACGTTGAAAGTGTATACTTTCAACGTCGCCTGATACAACGTCGGTTGTATAACCGACGTTGAAAGCCTTATATAACCGACGTTGAAAGGCATATCTGTAGCAGTGTTAACTTTTTCTTTCAATTTTACTCAATGTGAGATTTAGACTCACACTTATATTTCCTAATAATCTCTCCCTTAAATGTAAATTCTTTTATATTGGTATATCCTCTCGTTTTTACTCAATGTGGGATTCAAACACACATTTAGATTTCCTAACAATCTCTCTTAAATGTAGGTTCTTTTATATTTGTACATCCCTTTGAATATACTAGTGACTCTTTCATAATAAGACACGCTTACCTGACTCGTTTGTTAAGAAGACTTTTGATATAAATGTTATTTTTAAACTACTAATTGCCCTTTGATTCCAATATTACTTGTTGAGTCTTTTAAAATAATTTATTAAAGAGAACACAATATTAATAAAATCTGAAACTAATTCACATAAAAGATTGACATCATTCAATATCCAACGACAACAATTTTACTTGATAATAAAAAAAATATTTATGTTGTTTTTTCTTATGTAGGAGAACATAAAATTGAGACTGAATTTAAAGAATTAAAATTTAGTTATACTAGATGTAACGTTTTTGTTTATTTTTTTCATGTTTAATAATAAAATATAATTAAAAAATTAGGATGAACAAAAACTGGTTGTAAATGTGGATAATTTAGGATAGATTCACACTGGATGCTTACTTTTGATTGTTTGTGAAAAGGACAAAAGTTAATTGCCTCAAAACATATTCTAACCACTTTTTTTAATTGATAATTTTTTTTCTTTTTACACTGTTTTGATATACACGATTTAAATCCAATGTTATCTTTTGCACATTATTCGATCAATTGAGCTTGACCACAAGAAGTTAATAGGTTCAACATAAAATATTCCAATCAGATCAGAAATGTTATATTCAAATTTTAATAAAAATGATTAATTTTAAAATAACCTATATATAGAAATACTCTAAAATACTATTAACAAATATTATTAGACATTCAAATAAAATAAAATAGAGTATATGATATTTGTTCTTGTATGACTATGTATATTTTGAGTTGTATCATGCATATAGAATAAAAAATATATCAATTTTTTTATAAAATAATATCCGAATAACTATTCAGAATCTACGACATCATTATTCCTATTATATCGAAATATTTAAATATCTTGAAATAATATCATACAAGTTAACCTATTAATTAAGTTAACAGCATTGCATACGAATAATTATAATATTATTCTAATTTAAACACTAATTTTGAATTTAAACCCTATATAATTATGTTAAATATACAATATAGAGATTTTGTTCATAGGAAATTTACAAATCCACGTCAAAGAAATACATGAATGTTGCATTAATTAGACGTATAAAGTATAGATTTGATATCTACACATGTTTATAATGTATTATTTGGAATAGTGTTTTTAATTGAATATAACTTTATAGGTTTTATAAATTGTTTATCGTTTATTAGTCAAAGTGAGAATGGACACGAATATAAGAATTTAGATACCCTAATAAATAAAGATATAAGTATTATTAAAGTCATCTTAAAAAATATTAAAAATACTTTGATATTATTATATTCTAAATGCTCATGCAAGGACAAATACTTTGATATTATGTCTACACTCTATCCACTTCAGTCTCTCCCATATAATAACGAACATCAATTTTAAATAAATAATTTGTCAAACACATGACTAAACCTCTTAAAACATTTTATGTCACATAAAACACAACTTGCAAGAATGAATAATCTAAAATACACGCGTATTCGAAGCGAGATATATTATAACTATTGACAATGACTTCAAATTTTATTCACATATTAAAAAATCAAATTTCATAATTAAATTTATGAAAAACCAATAATCTATTCATTATTTCATAATAATCTCTTGCGGATCAAAATTAATCTAATTCCTTTTTTTTTACAGTTCCATATTTTTTACATTTACTTTTTAAAAAGTTTTTTAAAATATAATTTTAAATTTATTTGGAATTTTTTAAAACTGTTTTTATTCTATCCATTCATTTTGTCACCTACTAAAAGTATTTTATGAAATATTGTATATATATTTAAAAAGAATAATGAATTAAGTATTAAGAAAATACTTAAAAAAATCATATTAATTCGACTTCAGTCATGTATGATAGGTAAATATAACTTTTTAATCTTACTATATTTTTAAGGATTTGAGTTTAATAGATTTATAGTAAATAACTTAATTATTAATTCGACTCTGTATTTTTAGAATATATAGGGTACCAAAATTGTTTATATCTACAATACTGGTTGGAAGATTTTTCACTCACTGCTAATTAATGTAAAGTAGGTCTAAGGTTTATTGTAGATAGGCTTTATTAAAAAAATAGTTATCATTAAATTAGAATAGTGTTAGATTTTATCTCTATCTAATAATCTACTCCTATATTTTAATAATCAATGTAAGGAGTTTTAATTTCTATTTTCTTTCAACTCTATTGAATATTTTTAATATTATTTTTTCTTTTCTTGTTTTAATGTGTTTCGATCATTTCTAAGAAATATCAACATTTTAAAACAAAATTATGTTAAAATATAAACTATCCATTATAAATCTGCAATATAACAGGTATTATCAAAGTTATCTATTTATTATAAATTAATTATGATATGATTTAAATTAAAAATATTTATTATCAATTATAATTATATATTTGTAAGTATTTACCATGATATATATATATATATATATATATATATATATATATATTAAAATTCCAGCTAATTTTATACCAAATAATTAATCAAATTATTCAATATAGAAATAATGTTATAACTTCATATAAATCTGTCTATAAACTTGACTAGCAGTAATAAATAAGAAATATATTTGACGCTATAAAGATAAAAAAATAATACTCAATAATATGAAATAAAAATACTAATATTTGGATAGAGGATTGGATTTAAGAGGTAAAAAAAGAAAAATAGTAAAAAATAGATTGTTTGGACTGAGAAAAAGATAATAAAAAATAAGAGAAATAAACAAAAATATTATAAAAGATAAGATTGTTTGATTGATTAAAAAATATTAAATAATAAGATAAAATGATAATTAAAATATTTTTTCGCATAATTTTATTTTAAAATATAAATTAAAATTGAAATAGATATAATTTAATATGAAATAATTATTTAACAAGATGGATAAAAATAAATAAGTAAAGTTTATTTATATTTAATTATAAATAAATATGAATATAATAAATAAGCTAATAATTATTATACTAATATCTTTAAAATAAATAAACAAATATATAATATTTTTATATATTATTATATATACTTAATATTTTATTAAAAATTATTTTAAAAATAAAATATTATAATTAAAAATATTTTTTTAATTTAGTATTTATTTAAAATTATATCAACTATATGTTTTCAATAGTATATAAATATATATTAAAATTAAATTATTTTAAAAATTATATTAATTAACACATTCTTATTAAATAGTCTATTAAGAAAAAAATGATATTATTTTTTCTATATATGTTTTTATAATAAATTAAAAGTATAGCTAAAAAATATTATTAATTAAATATTCTTAAAATATGAATTATTGTTTATATTAACTTTTTTAATATTTTTTATTAAATCATGTTATTGATAAAAAAATATTTTCTTGAAATAATAAAAGTGATTAAGTATTTATGCAAATTAATTAAACTGTATAGAATAGGTTTAATTTTTATAAGAATAAAGTTTTATATAAGATAATTCTTATAATTATTTTAAGGATAAATTAATTTAATTTATATTTTATAAAAAATTATCAAAATAAATTAATACAAATATTTGTAATTTGGTAATATATATATAAAATATTTATATAAAAATGAGACTCATATATTATGTGACTATATAAAATCAACTATGCAATGATACATAATTACACGTGAGGACAAAACTTGTGTGTTATTTTCAACTTTTCTTTACAAATAAGCATATAATTTTCTTAATGTGGATTCTGTGTTATTTTTATGCTAATCAACTTTTAAAACTATTAGACATAATTAATTTTCATAGGTTAGTACTTGATAAAAACAAATAAAACATAAAAGTACGAGGTAAAAAATTTAAAATTGTGCATTAAAAAAAAATTAACATTATGACAATTTTGCGGATTATAACGAGCCACGTGTCAATCTAACAATTTTAGGTGGGTTCACCAACCTTTACCTACATACCCAATTTTGACAATACTCCATGGAAGTGCAATGTGTCGCGTTTTTATTAGTCGAAAGGGACGAGGTAGCTAATGCACTTTCCCTGCTACAAATTCAACCATGGTCTACGGCATAATTAATGCATTTTAATTTTGTTAACTATTCATCTTTAGTAAATTAGGTTTAAATGAATAATTTCATTAGTTGAATATGATGTATAAGTTATTCTAATTTTTCTAATGTATTTAATCTTTACTAATAAAAAAATTTAGTATTTTTTTAGTCTTTGTATTTCATTAACAATTGTAAAAAGTTTATATTTATCATCTTACTTTTAAAATTTATAAAAGAAACTATTCAAAACATGTTCATAATTTGTATAACAGTTTAAAAGCAAAATTGAACTTACAGAGCTTTTTATGTATTATAATCAAAGTACAAAAAATAAAGCTTCTCCTTGACTCTGATATATGAGGGCCATAAATGTAAAAAATTTAATTTTCAGCATAAAATAGTGTTGGAAAATAATGTATATGATGAGTAACTTTAAATATTATCGTGGAATTTTTATTAAATATGATCTCATCATTGAATATTTTGGAGGGAAAATTAAAGTAAAAGTAAATAGTTTCTACAATATATGAATACAGAGCATTAAACATCAACCATCGAGTTAATAATGTTCAATGAATCACTAAGTTGGAAATCATTTGTTTTTTTTTTTAAATAAACTATATAAAACAACATCATCTGAATAATGTTTTTATATTTTAATATTGTTTTATAGACTTTAGGTTATATATAAATTGATTGAGCTACGTCCATCATTAGGTTGTTATATATAAATTGATTGAGCTACGTCCATCATTAGGTTATATAAAGCAGAGAACGTTCAAAACATTGACCTAAAGTACTAGTACTTGTACTAACCATGTTATTATAAAACCTTGTACTAAATAATTTATGTTTAGCTGGCTCCTTGTTCTGTCTGCTACGTCAAAATCATAAGGCTAAAACGTTGAACCGAACCACGGTCTAGAATAGCTGAACCGGAACCGGTCATGTTCCAAAAGAGGTCCGTGGATTTGTGAGCCCCACTTAATTTGGTCACTCGCACGTGCCAGGCCAAGCATAATTACGCGTATGCTTTAACAACGAAAAAGTGTACAAATCTCTCTCTACTTTGATCATTATTATTATTACGGAAATAAATAAAGGGTCACATAATTAAGGTTTATACATTGTTAATATTGCGTAATCAAGAATTTAGGTTTCCCTTTTGGGTGTTGTTAGGTTAAAGGATATTTGAACTTAGTTCAAACTAAGTTAGTTGTTAACCTAAATTCCCTTAAGTCACTTCATAAGAGTGTGCTAATGTTAGAGTCTTTTGTTGGTGGAATTTCAAAGAATTGTTTAAATAGATGAATCACTGATAACAATATATATATACACATTATTTTAATAATAACAAAATTATACATAATATACATATATATGGATATTTAGCATTGTAAATTTTTAATAAAGATAAAATTGAATTGTGATTGTATTATACACAGATGAGAATAAAAAGAAAAAAGAGAGGAATACTTTTCCACTTTAACTCAAAGTTTAAGATTTTCGAAATCCATGCAAAAAAGTATGTATGATAAATTTGAGGGTTACATCCTGGGTATTACGGTCGCCAACCCCTTTCATGTCACCCTCCCACGAGGGCAAAATAAAGAACGCGCAGAAAGTTAAATAAAGCATTTCACATAACACAATAAAAGCAAATTAAAGAAGCTTTATTAATATCATTTCTTTAATCATAATTAAATGCCCACGATTATACATAATATAATCATAGTTTATACATAAAAAATAAAATACTACTACTACTACTACTACTAATAATAATAATAATAATACAACCTAGAATTTATTTGCATAAAAGGAAAGAAAACTTGGCAAGCAAGTCGCAGGGATAAATAATAAATATGCATTAATTAAGCCGCGGAGAGTGAGACTTTTGGTGTCAGCGTGACGAAACTTTGACGCAATGGGAACGCAACAAAATATACAAAATTATTAAATATAAAGCCAAAGAATGAAAGTTTCCGCGTAGATAGATGAGACACTGTTTCATATCATTCAAATTAATAATAATAAAAAAACTTTAAAAACATAAAAAGAAGAAACTTTCAATTTTTTAATCTGTCCATGAAATGTCCATTTTAGCTTCACCACTAATTCTTCTCTCTAATGTTTATTACAATTATTAATTTATATAATAATTATATATGGGTATACCGTATTTATTAGTTTGGAATAAAGAACAATATAATAACTTTCATTTTTTGGTGTTTTAGATTTCATTCATGAAATAAAGAAACACTTTGCTTTGGACACCTAAGCCAAAGAAAATCTCTCTTCTTTTTTTTTCTTCTTGATTACGCGATTCACACCTGATGTTCACACCACACCTCTACCTACATATATATTCTCTCTATCTTTTTCTCTCCCATCTTTTGCTTCTCTCTCTCCTCCATAAACAAAACACACCCTTCAATAACTTTTTCTACATGTTCAGAGCCATCTCTTCTTCATCTTCATCTTTCATATTGGATTTGATCCTCTCTCTCTCTCTCTATTTCTAGTTTTGGTTTTCTTTTTCAATTTTTCATGGAGGGTCATCATCTCCATCACCATCACAGGCAGCAGCAGCAACAACAACATCATCATCAACAGCAACATCAGCATCACCACCCTCACAACATCACAACCAGCGCTAACGTGGATGCCACAGATAGGTTCCCCCAATGGAGCATCCAGGAGACAAAAGAGTTCCTCGTGATCCGTGCGGAGCTGGATCAGACCTTCATGGAGACAAAGCGGAATAAACAGCTTTGGGAAGTCATCTCCAACCGGATGAAAGAAAAGGGTTTCCATAGAAGTGCAGAACAGTGCAAGTGCAAGTGGAAAAACCTCGTTACCCGCTATAAGGTATTTTTATAACATTCATCCACTCATATACATAACATATTAATCGCAACAACCCAAATAAAAATCATATTCTTATTATATGAGTCATATATATGTTTGTCCTTTTCTATCCTGGACTATCACGTTTTTGTACTTCTAATCAGTATCTGGTTTAAGACTGCCACATGCCCGTGATTGTGATCAATATCTAGTTCAAGGCTACCTCCTCGTGTTCATGGTTCTGATTAATACCTGGTTTAAGACTACCACCTGTTCATGATTTTGATCAATATCTGGCTTAAGACTATCACGTATTTAATATCTACCAGTTGGGGTTTTCAAGAATTTAATAGAATTACATTAATTACTAGTTTAGTAATATATAAATATTTTGATTAAAAAATGGGTGTTGGTGATGTGATTTATTTATACATATTATGTGTTTTTATGGGTTTTATGTAGTGATAGTACTACTTTTTTTGTTGTTGAGATTTAAAGGGATGTGAAGCGATGGAGCCAGAGGCGATGAGGCAGCAATTCCCGTTTTACAATGAGCTTCAAGGGATTTTCACATCAAGGATGCAGAGAATGTTGTGGGCAGAAGCAGAAGGAGGGTCGAAGAAGAAAGGAGTGCACCTTTCATCAGAGGATGAGGAAGAGGGAAATGAAGAAAGTGAGGGAGATCAGAAGGGTAGCATAATGAAAAAGAAGAAGAAGGGGAAGATGGTAATTGGAGGAGGGAGTGGTAGCAGTAGCAATGTGGAGAGTTTGAAGGAGATCATGGAGGAGTTCCTGAGGCAACAGATGCAGATGGAGGCACAGTGGATGGAAGCGTTTGAGGCAAGGGAGAATGAGAGGAGGATGAAGGAGATGGAGTGGAGGCAAACCATGGAGGCATTGGAGAATGAGAGGATGATGATGGACCAAAAATGGAGAGAGAGGGAAGAGCAAAGAAGGATCAGGGAAGAAGTTAGGGCTGACAAAAGAGATGCTCTAATCACAGCTCTTCTGAACAAGCTCAGAAGAGAAGAGATGTAGTATACTAGCTCTAACTAGCTTTTATTGTCTTTCTTCTTCTCTTGAAGCAAAGCTTAATTTCAGAGGTTTGTTCTAAGACTCTCAATTTATATATCTTGGTCATTAATATAGATCTCCATACTTTATCTTTCTTATTGGTTTTACCATGTTACGATATCTTCATCTTCTACTCTTCATTCCAATTACCTATTCAAGCTTCTAGCGAAAGTAATGAAAAGAATCAACAATAAAGAAAAAAAAAAAAGTGGTTCTAGGATATTCTTCTTGTTTTCCCTTCTGTTGTTTTAGTTGGAAATAGGCAAATGACTACGTGTTACTTTTTTTGGGGGGGCATGCAATATCATTGAGAGAGGACCAACGTTGATCCCAAAAATGAATGCTTTCATAGAGATTCTATTCTTGTAGTAGGCGTAGATAGAGAGAGAAATATATGAATATTTAAAAGAGAACAAATTGCTGTTCCTAACTAACAACCGAAAACGGGAAAAAGATCCACAAAACATGTCACAAGATAACTCATCATAATGTCTATCCATATATGTGGAGACGCACAGTTTCAAGATTTGCTTAAATATGATCACTATATACACAGTGATGCTTCATTCACTATTGTAAACAAAAAAAATGAAAAAGGGTTTTATGATATAACATATAAGTAAATATATGTGATGCTACTCTTCCTTGTTCATATCCTCATATATATCACACAATGGGTCTGAAGCTGAAGTAGGGTTTTCAAATGAGTGATGAACTGTTGTCAAATCATGTTCTTGAGGGTGTCGGTGAAAGCAATGTTGCCCAGCCATGTGTCCCAGTAAGCATTGAAAACGACGTTATGGTTGAGATCGATCTCAACAATGAAGAAAGGTAGATATATATGGTGATTGAATGATTCTTGTGGCATCCCCTCACATCATAGGTGTCAAGGTTCATCATATCATATATAGTGGAGGTATATTAAAGTCTAGTACTAGAGAGAAAATTGTACAAATATGTTGACGTGTGCGTGTACGTTATGTAAATCTAGCATGTTGTTCTTCATTTTTTCCAAGGACTTGATCATCTTTATGGATGGATGCCATAGCTTAATTTGTATGTGAGGTTTTTTATTGCTATGTGATTTGAATTTTGCATGGAAGAGTTCAAATTCCAAAAGGTTACTCGTGACATTGACCCTGTGTGCATGTGAGAGATCTAACACATCATGATCATATTAGTATGCTGAATTTCAGGCTCAGGTATGAATTTATGACTCTAAAGTGGTACCATTCTTTAATCCGTGTCTTCTGTGATGTATTGGTTTTTTAATTAAAAAACAATTTAAAGATAGCAAAAGGAAGATCACAGAGATCAGTGATGGAAAAGGAAGTGTTTGTTCAAAATAGAAAAGCTAAGATTGCATGATAACTTTTTGTCTTTAAATTTATGTGCGTGCGGTGTGTAGGGTATATGTTTCATACATTTTTTTCTAGATATCTATGGATGTCTTAAAACAATTTTTGTTTGTTCAAGTTATTACATATATTTGTATTTCATTCTTAATGCTACATGTGTGACCAAGTTACTACATTTTATTTGGTCTTCAAACTTTGGGATGATGCAGGAACTCGAGTCAAAAGGGTGGATTCACATTGCTTTCTGATTTTATTTCTAAATGAAAGTTTGTAAAAAACGAGGTAAATTAATCTTTACCCATATGAAAAAATGATTTTAACTATATAAATATGTAATTTGTTTATATATCTAATATATTTAATTTAAGGACCACTCTAGGAGAGGCAAATGGCAAGAGTTGATGCTGACTTGTTCCTCTTAATTTTTTTTATTACATATATTTTTTATTAAAATTCTTATTGAATACAATATTATACATGTCAAACTTTATTTATTTTTAGTATTTTTGTGTATTCTCTGAATCCATTCTTAAATATATCATCAACATACAAAATTGCTCTTATTAAATTTTAATTTATTAAAAAATAACACCTTTAAATATGTTTGCACATTGTCAAGTATATTTTGTAGAGTGTGAAGTTGAATTCAATCCTAAATTTAATGTGTATGAAAATAAAATACAATTGAGAGACTTTTTTTTTTTTTTTTTGTATAAAGGTCTTTGGCATTTAACTGTGTTTGAAGAGGCTACATATTAAACAAAGAATTTAAAAACTGTGTTTAATCTCAACTATAATCTGGGAAATGATATATAATTATTTCATCGTGGACACATATAATTAAATTCAGCAAACTAACTTATGTTTCAACTAATTAATAAACTTTTCTCGTTCTGTTCATACTTAAACATATAAAAAATGCAATTTGAACATTACAAGGTTGGATGTGTTCATACCTTAACTAGTTTTGTTTTGTTTTTTGTTTTTGGCTTGATTTATCATGAAAATGAAGAACATAAAGAATAGAAAGGAGCATGGATTTGTCTCTGGAGTATGTCTCGTCTTTGTAGGAGATATCCCTTTTTTCTCAAATAATAATTGTATTTCTGCTTATAGTAAAGCCCTTTTATTATATATAAAAGCACTTTTTTCCCTATATAAAGTAGGTTTACCCTATATAAGTTTGGAATAATTTTTTAATGAACAACGTTTTAATGTGATTAAAGTTCTGTCTAAATTATTTCCCGTGAGATGAACACACATAATATCGTTTGTTTACTTTACCATATACAATTATTTGTTAAAATAATTAATTTATTTTCGTTAATTATATTTAATGCTATTGAATTTCCTTTTTAAAACGGAAATCGATTACATAGAGCAATTCTAATTATATCAACATCGGGAACAAAATTATATCATGTTAATTAAATAAACTGAACTTAAGATGAATATATATATAAATTTCGACATTAAAAAGAATATGAAAGAAACTTAGTGAAATAAGTGTTTGAAGCAATAATTACGTAAAGAAAGTGGAGAAAACAAGTTTGATTTTATTCGAAATACAGTTGTTGTTTTTTTTTCACTTCCATTATTGGTCTTTGAAGGAGTGTTTGGATGGAAAAGAAGAATCGATTCGAATTGGAAGTGATATTGAAAATTTCGCGTTTACGTGAGTGGCTTAGATGATGGGATAATAGAGGAAAAGAATGTGTGGCAGTGTGTTACATGCGCACCGACACAAACACAATCCCAAAAACAAACGCATCCCTTCGAACACGGAAAAATGAACTTAATTACATTCACGACCGCACTTCTCATCATAGCTTGTGCAATGTGATGATGTCTGTTATGTGTTGTTCCCAGTTCATTCCGTTCTTCTTCTGTCTCCAACTTTTCTCTATTTTAATACTTCAAACGTAACGCGTTTCTGACATACCACACTGTTTCCAATATATATTTATAAATTTATCACCGACTATTTTCATCGACTCGTTTTTATTGCAAGTATGAAATAATTTTTTATTAGTCAAAATGGATCAAATTCAACAATTTAAATACATTTTTGAAAGAAAAAGAAAATTGGCCTTTGACAGGTTCTTCTTCTTCTTCTTCTTCTGCAATCTTTCAAATAGTGAACCAAGTTCAGAAACGAGGGGTTCGGGGAAATTGTTTGATTAAATAAAAGTAAAAGTAAAAAAGCAAAAGGTTTGTGATGAACTAGGTAGATCAGAATCTGACCCACATTTTGAATTTTGTTTGTTCTTACCAGTGTTTCTTTTTCCCCCCATTTTGGTTGAACCAGGAATATTTTATGTTGGATTGTGCACTGTTGGGACTTGGGAGGCACTTCACATTGCTGACCTTTTCTTCAATTCTTCCCACAATGTCTTAATAGTTTAAGGTTTTGAATTCCAAGTTTCAACCATTCATGTTGTTTACAGCCAATAACCATTTGCAAAGTCAATTAGAGAGTTGATGGAGCTTGAATGTTATATGAGACAAGAGTTAACTTTCAATCACCATGGGGTTGAAAGGTTAAGAAAAGTTTTTGTATCATATAACACTCGTCAAAAGTATTTGGTAATATCTTGGATTAATTTCTTCTTTCTTTGTATTTTTTTTTCAATGTAAACTTAAGGGATCACTTGGAAAAATATAATTTACTTTCACACACAAATTTAGGTATTTTTAAACTATTTCCATTGCTATATTTCTTTTTTTAGTTTAATTATATTTACGGCTCCTGAAATTAAAACAATTGTAATTTTAGTCCTTCAATTCTAAAAATATTTATTTTAGTCTATCAAAATTTAAATAATATAATCTTAAATATTAAATATAAACAACTAAAATGTATATTTTGAAATTATTATTAGTTTAGAAACTAAAATCATATTTTATTAAATTTGAGAAGTAAACAAATTTTTTCTTAATGTAAAAAACTAAAAAATTATTTACCCCATATTTCAGGGACAAAAACATAAGTAATCTTTTTTTTTTCTAATAAAAATTAATCCACGCGTAGATTTTAATTTATATCTTTAATTATACTGTCTTTGAACTTAGATATAACAAAATGAACTTTAATATAAACAAATCTATCTAATTTTACTTTACTTAGTGATGTTATTTCTAAAACAAATTTTATTTAATGATTATTTTTAATTTTTTAATGATTTTTTGTTAATACTAATATTATTTTTATATGATAAACCATATTAACATGAATATAAATTAAAAAAAATTAATTAAAAGATTATATTAACAAAACCAAATTTAATATACACTGTTTTAGTACATGATTTTTGTATTTTAGTGGAGGAAAAGTTGTTTCATGATTCCACTATCCCAAATTCAAGTGTGCCACAAACTTCCACGAAAACTTAGTAGAGATGTTTAAAGATTGGCAAAAGAGAACAAACCTAAGCCTTTTTGCCAATATTATTTGATGATAATAATTGAAGCAACTTTAAGGGTGATTGAAATTCTCTTTTGAAGGGTGAGGGGTCGAATAATTAAGTGAAGGACATTATTAGTTGTCCTTTTCTTGTGTTTGTTCTCCCCCATGTTGTGTCATTTTGTGACTATAATCATCAAAGCATTTGCCATTTATTGTTCCATTATGGTAAGCCTAATTAAATTAACTAGAAACGTGTGAGATAGAGGTTCTATACCAATTCATTGTGTAATCACTAAAAGAGATTGAGTATAGTGAAGGAGAGAGGGGGTTTTATTTGATTACGAAAATGATATGATTTTGTTGATTGGATCCATGTCTAAAACACATTATAACAATTATGAACTTGACACAGGAGAAAGTATATGAGTGTATTCTTGATTTTGTTAAAATTATTATTAAATATCTAAATTTTTTTATTTTATCCCTCAATTTTATATATTTAAATTTGTTTATTGTTGTTTTATGATATATTTATGTATAATTGAAAGTGTACAAATTCACCACTTAATTTTAGAAATAAAGTACCCAACTAACTTAAAAGTTTAGATCCATCAATATAAAATATGCCACTTCAAATTTTGGATCTTTGCTTTTCTAGTTGGTGAAAGTTGCTTCACCATGTTTTCATGGACGTGTTAATTCCATTGTTTCTTAATTACCTCCAAAAGTTAACAACTAAACAAAATGCATCAAGTTGATACAAAAAAGGAGTCATTGTTTCTTTCTATTCTTTTTAGTAATTTTATTCTACTTATAAGAAAATAAAAATCTTACATCTAAAATAATTCAACCTCGTACTAAATCAATTTAGAAGATGAAATTTATATTCGTTCACATTTTACAAAATGTAAGATTTTTAATAATGTAAAATAAGATTTACATATTTACATCATTAATGTCATACTAATTTGTTTTGCTTGTAGTGAAAATGGAGAGGGAAAAGTAGTTAATGCAAAGAAATAAATAGAAAAAAAAACATATTTTCCTTGTTTGATAGTCAAAAAATTGATAAAGAAATATGTTATATTTTTCACTGCATGATTATTTTAAACTCGTATATAAGTAAAAAAATAATGAAAAAGATAAAAAAAATTGTTATTTTTATTAAATTATTTTCACTTAAATAATAACTATTCATTTTTATATTTAAGATTTTAATTTTTGTATATATATATATATACATATTTAATTATTATTTTAAAAAATATCATAAATATGTAAGTCATTATAAAAATTAAATAAATAATTTAATATATTTATATTTTTTAATATGATATTATTTTATTAATTTAAGTTTAAATATTTAAAATATATATAATGTTATAATAAAAACTATTTTATAATTAAATATCAAAAACTATATTATTAAAAAGTAAAATATTAACTTAAAAAATTATCTTATTAATAAATAATTGAAAATTATATAAAAAATTCTATAGTTAATTTAATTATCATTATTTTTTAAAATAACATTTTTTTTATTTTGAATTCATTTTTTCAAATAAAAATGAATACTTTTACTTTATTTTGTCTCTTTGTCTATTCTTTTATCTTCTTTTCTCCTGTTAAAAACGATGCTGATGCTAAATGGGCCGAAAGTTAGTTATTTTTTTTTCTTGTATGAGATTTCACGTTTCGAAAAGATCATACACTTCTGTATCTTCCTTTTTATTTCTTTCTTTCTTTATTACCCAACCTTTCTTCATTCTGTGTCTCTAATTTGACACATATATTTGTTTTTAAATACTTTTATTAGAAATGGAAGATATTTCAATAAATGAATATTATGAAAACGTGAAATTAAATATTTTAAAATTATCAAATTTTATGAAGTGATATACTAATAAATTTAGTTAAAATAGTTTTTGATATTCCAATAAAAAAACTTATTCATAACTGAGTAATGTTTTTTACTTCCTCACCAACAAATTAATGTCTCATGACGATGATATGCTATTCAATTTTTTGTAAATGTTAATGGAATATGGATATTTAGTAAATAGTTCAGTTTGAGTCTAATAGGATTAAAAAAATATAAAATTTTATAATGGTGAATTAAAATAAATTTAGTTTATTTAACCCATTTTCTTAATCTTTAATATTTTAATTTTTCTTATTTATATGTTAGAATAAATCTATGAAGAAAAAATAAATCTTTTAGTAAATCAATATATTTATATTGATAATGATAAGTCAATCCATTTAATTTATCTATTTTAATAATTTAAAAAAATAAAAAATAATTAGAAAAAAGACATATATGCAAGTGGGTCAACTCACCTAATCTATTAACATCTGGTAAAAAATGTTGTTTATTAAAAAATAAGTCTATTTTGAACTAATACTTTATAACTAATAATTGAGTTTTGATCTTATTAACCCACATAATTAATGCTGCCATTACACCATTTTTCATTTTGGTTTCTCATTTACTTTCAAGTTAATATATTTTAATTTTTTCCATCGTCATAATTATTAAATAACAGTTTTTTAAATTGTTAACTATATATGCAAAGGTATCAACAATGCAATGATGAGTTTGAGCTTCTTTCTCAAGACAAAAATAACCACATGATTGTATAAATGATTCAAAAGTAAATTATCACGAAATTTGTTCAGGGAAATCGACTTCTTAAATAATATATCAACGAATAGAGAGATTATGATGTAAAATATTTTTATTTATAGCTTATTATATTTAAGCTTTGTTTTAATTTCTTTATATTTTTGCAAGTAACTTTTTTAATGTACCATAATCAATTTCAAATATTAAAGTTTCAATATCACAACAATTGTTTAGGAAGGAAGTTCAATTTTGTAAGTAATATAACCATGCATCATTAAATTATAATGTAAAAACTTTTCATTTACCAAGTACTGTGTTTGAACATGATTTATTTTCATGTATTGTAGGCATAATCTTTTATAATATTAGTAAATACCAAATTAACCAATTATTAAATTTTGGAACAAAGGAATTTGAATTTAAGTTTATAGGGTTTTGTACATTTTCTTTCTAATGGTAGCAAAAAAATTAACAAAGAAAGAAATACCCCTATTCATAGTTAAGATCACAAGAAACAATTTTACCAAAAGAAAAAAAAAATATATTTGAGTTTAGCATTGGGCTTATCCTCTCTAATGATATGGGCCATGACCAAGATTCTTAGCCCAGCTGAGAACAAAATCTTATCAGAACCAGAGGTGTTTAATAATTTTCATTACATTTTTTCACCAAAGAAAAAATATTCTGACATTTATGTCCTTGAAATTGACCAAAAATACACCAAACAAAATGAGCTAACACCAGAGCACAAAAATTAATTATGGTAATAAGTAAAAAGGAAAAAAAATTATTCTTTCTTTTTGTCTTTGCATTTGTTGGGCCTATGTCTGCTCAAAACTGAAAAACGTTGTCTACTGAGTTTTCTTCAACATTGGAAAATTCCCAAAAACCTTTCACTCTTTTTTCTGGTCTTCACTATTTCTATTCAATAATATTCAAATCTCAATTCCCATTGGTTTATTCCTCGTAACATTTTCTAAAAAAGCTTAGTTGGTCACTTAGGTTATGGGTGTTCATATTATAGAATATAACAAAATTTAATTTATTTGTTGATAGTTATACTCTCTACTCATTAACATAAAAGAATTCTCAATATGAAAGTTCCACAAGTTCATTGACAAACTCGTGCAGTAAAATGTCTAAAATTTTATGCTCATACTCCCAACAAATATCTTCGTAGTTTTCACCCTCACACATGTGTTTTCTTGTGAAATCTGATTCTGTCAAATCATTTTCTGTACACTTGCAAAGCTTCACTGTTAATTCTGATAAACATTCCTTTTTGTTGTTGATGTCAGGGGAGGAATATTCTTTGTCCTTGCTTGCTCTGTTTCCAACATTATCATCCAAGAACAGTTCTCTTGAAAATTCCCACTCTGTCTTCGGCGTTAAGGAGCTTGTGTAATCTGCAATAATAAATGTGTATATCATTATTCATAAATGAACAATATAATGTTTTTCAACATATAAAGGTAAGAATAAATTATACTCTGCATTATTTCTAGAAATTGCACACGAAACTCTTCTTTTTAACATTTACCGTAAATATTCTACACTGTTATAATATATAATGCTTTTATTGGATAGGGGTTAAAGAAAATTATTAAAGGAGCTAAAAAGACAAAAATATCATTTATTAAGCAAAAGCAAGTAAATTATTTTGGTATGTACATTCTTTTTCACTTCTTACATACACTCCATTAAAATTTTTGTTTCACGATGAAGATCTAAATACTAACTTTTTATATCAATATTTTGGAATGGAAGAATATTAATATAGACATTTCTAACAAAAATTTAAACTGCGATCTGTTACTTTGTGGAGGAACTAAATTCTAATACCAGACACTTTTTTCTAGTTACAAATGGTGATACTTTACCTATATTTACTATAACTTCAACTATTTATTATGAAATCAGCATAAACAAATGCTACACACTAGGCACCATGCATATCAGTAACAGAGGCTTACCATGACCACTCCCTAAACTGCTGATGCAAATAAAAATTGAAAAGGTCTATTTTTTTTATTTTTTTACTGCAACTAAGGTGTAATTTTAATCATTGATAAAGAAGATAAAGAACAAGGGCATTCAGAAAACAAACCTGGAAAATCAGGTCCATAAAGAAATGAAAAGTCGTAGTCATTTAAGACTGAGATTGGACTGAAATTCTCTGAGCTACACTCAGTCTCTATCTTCTTTGTTGACTGTTGTTTTCTTGGTTTTTTCGACTGTTTTGGTTCAGAGAGCACTTTTTTCTGCTTATTTGGCAATGTTGAGCTTGTTCTTGAACCACTAGGACCATTAGTACCTTTTCTTCTATTACTACTACAACTCTTAGAGAAAGCAGAAACTGGTGCCAAAACTTTAGCTTCATTGTGATTTCGAACCTTTGAACCGTGCTTAAGTGGAACCACTCTAGGCTCATTCTTGAACTTGGAAATCTTCTTTCTCTTTATGAGGTTCTTTTCCTTTGTCACACCAACAATCTCCTTGTTCTTGCTCCCCTGCTTCTTTCTCTGTCTAGATTCTTCCAACCCCATTTCTGGAATCCTCAAAAGGGATTCAACTTTATGATCTTCACTCCCACTGTCCCAGTAGAGCACAACAAGGTCACGGTTTGTCTTTTTGTTGTTGTGCTGATCAAACGGCGCGGGAACCTCTCTGAATGATGCTGAGGTTTTCACTTGGTGATGGTTGGCTTGGCTGGTATCAAACTTGAGCAAGTAATCCACAAAGTTCACTGACCTACTTCTTGGAACTGAATCTGGGGTGTTTGTGCTCGGTACCAAGTTGGTACTTGGCAGTGAATCAAGCCCCATTAGCCTTGCCACCACCCCTGGTTTAGTTACATTGATCATTGCATCTTTATTATGACCATGCACTACTTCTGTTGCATATTGTTTGGTAATGGGGTTAGAATTTGGGTGCATTGGAGACATATTTCCATTCTCAACACAAAAGAGAAGGTGAAAAAAGTCAGAAAAACAACCAGGTTTTGCATGACTTGGTTTAGCCATATCACACACTTTCAAAAACAGAAGTCAGAAACTGTTGTTTGAGGAGGTAGAACTAACTGGTAGAGTAGAGAAGATGGTGATTGAAATGGTTGAAACCACAGCGAGTGATAGAAAAGAGGTAGAGAGAGAGAGAGGTAATTATGATTAAAAAATATGGAGAGTGTGAAAGGATTGTTGAGTTCACATCAGATTGGAATGCTACAAGATAGGAGGGGGATGTCTTAAAGGAGAGAAATTTCTTACCAGTTTTACGACTACCAATAAATTTAGTCACTAAATTTCTAACCATGTCATTTTAGTTCTTAAAATGGTCAAACACAACTCGTTTCAGTCTTTAATTTGATAATTGTTTTTGGTTCAAGAGGAGAAGGCTTGTAAGGGACAAGAGAGGGACCGTGGATTGAGAAATTGGCGGAGCAAGGAAATTGAACTTCCAAACTCACAATTTGTGTCGGGTAGTTTAACTAATTGTTGACTCTAAGAGATGCCCTTAATTTTATAATGTCAGAGACTAAAGTAATTACCATTGAATAACATCATGAATGAGTTTAATTGTAACGTAGGGATTAACTTGTACTAAATTGTTAACATCATTAGGAAATAAGAATCACATGTTTAGGGGTTATGACATAAAAAAAGTATTGAATGAAGAGTAATGGTGATTGGATGTCCTACAAGCTTAGTAAGTGTAAATGTTGTTTCTGCCATTTTAAGACAGAGCTGCCGAAGTTGCTGACTTGATTCAAAGATGAGAATATCGTGGACATGGGTCATTTTCATACCAAGAATTGCACCGACTTTCTTGACTCGTAATGCATTCTCTTTGTTGTACCAATCCCGGCCAAACAAACAAAAACGAAGACCCTCCTAAGGAATTGTGCTCATCAGATTCACATGCATTCAAGAGACCAACTTCTGAAACTACTTTCACCGATGGAACTTCACTAAGCTTGTTAGGAATGGAACCTCAACTTCATTGAGGTAACACGCATGTGTTCATCCCAATAATTTGGCCTTAAACCAAGTCTTCTTTTGGGGGTATTCTTTTCAAAATTCCATGCTTATTTAATGATTTCATTCTCTGCTTTTTATATATAAACGTGCTCCTCAGAACATTACAACATAGTGTTCAAACTAAATTGGTGGGTCCTTTTCCACTTCCTTAATCATAAGTTTGTTCAATTTATATGTTTTTTCTTTTTCAATTACTAAATTATCCTTTATTTATTACATCATAAAATATCATTTATTTATTTTTATTTATATTTTATCATGTTATTCTATTTTCTATTTTAAGGAAAACATTTGTTTGAAACAAAATAGGACTATAGCTCTTCTTTCTCATCAGTTAAATTTTCAAAACATATAGTTGCTGTTTATTATTATTATTATTATTATTATTAAAATATTGATTATTCTAATTTCCAAGTAAGACGACGGCGTTTGCGCAGGTCAACAGAGAGATGTGGTCATTACCTTTTACCTGAATATTTTAGTCGTTAAACTTGTGCTATTGATTAAGCATTAATTTAAAAGAAGTGAATATTATAAAACTCAAATTAACAATGCATGCATATTAAATTATATTTAATTTATTAGCATTGTGTCCAAAGTTTTTTGTTGAACTTGAACATCAACTTGAGTATTTTACTAATTTTCTCTCCAATGCCATTTAAAATTGAATTGAACAAGATATCCTTTCACACTTAAGCTTTTCGTGAATTCCCAAATTGAATTGCATTTGTCAAAGGTGGAATTTCTTCACCAATAATTAAATATGAAATTTTATCCTTAATATATTGTGCCCACAAATTATTAGGGAGGTTTTAGAGGATTATGATTTTCATTATTTTTAATTTAATTATAAAATTGGATACACTTAAATATAAATACATTTCAAATACATTCATTTTATTATAAATATTATTTGATTAGTTGAGGTTCTATTTTAAGTTTTTATACATTAGGTTTAAGTGAATTATATATACTTTTAAACAACTTTTATTTTTAAATACGATTAACTAACCTTTTAATTGATGTAAAATTGAGTTGAGTATACTTATATTTAAGTATAAGTATGAAAAAAAAATTAGTCAAGTTTGGATGTATAAAAATTTAAAACCTTATAAATAATTATAAATCATTCAACTATTTCTTAATATAGCTTGTAATAAATACTTTAAACACATTATTATTCTGACTGATTATAAATGTTATAATTTATTAAATAACAAGTACCTCTAATTAATTAATGTCTGTGGAGTCATTATTTTATTTATTCAAATTTTTATTATTTAAGATTGAAATTGTATATTTTAAAAGGAAACCGTAAAAAATTAGATTGGTATGACGATTAAGTTCAGTTCAATCTGAACTAATCTTATGGATGAAGAAAAAATAAAATAAAATTTCACGTCTCAATTTGTTTTATTCATAATTTGTATTTTAGTCTCATTAAGTTAGCATATTAATGATCAGATGCAATTTTTTTTATTAAGGTATCTTTACAAAAGAATTAATTAAAAAAGATTTAAATAAAATTTAAAATTATACTAATAAAATTAATTTTTATTTTAAATATAATAATTTAATATATATATAAACTATAAGAGAAAAAAATCATTTAATCCCAAAATGATTTAAAAATTAATCTAACTTATCTTATTTTCTAATCTTTCCCATCAACTATTAGGTTAAACTTATTTTTGAGACCTATTAAAAATTAATATTAGTAATGTGATATTTTCATAGAATGTCATAGTCAAATATATTTATTTTAATATGTGTTTCTATTTTTTATTTTTTTACTATTAAAAAAATCTCTCATGATTGTGAATATATAATTAGTTGGAAAATGTTATAATATTCATGTTTATCACTTTAATTTAATTAAAGATGTTACAAACTTTAAAACAATTAATAAATATAGTTGAGGCATTTGTTATCAAAGCTACCTTAGACTTTAGAGGTACACATTCTACATAATAGAATTTATAATTTATAATATGTTACACGTTTTCTGTTTATTTTAATTTCTTATACTACAAGAATACTTTTTTTTTTTGTTGTTTAACTTCAGCGTATTTCAATTTGAAGTTAACGTCTAATTTTTTAATATTAAAATATATTTAAAGAATTAATAACGCTCAACATTTGAACCACCAGTAACAAGTAGTATATATTATGAGATTCCCAATAATGTGTAATATGAATTTCAATATAAAAAAAATGAATCCCTTTGATGCCCTTTGAAAAAATCTATATAAAAAAATAATATAAATATTTTCCATTCCAAATCTCTTTTCACGTTCTTTTCACATTCAATAGTTTAAATATTTTTTCTGTATACATTTTTCAAAATAAACCTTTTTAAAATCAAATAAGATATAGTATAAGATTTAATGATTTAAATTTAATTAAATTTAACAAAATAATATTTTATAATATAATAAATTTATTATTATTAAAAATATTTTTAAAAATAAAAAAATTATTATGATAATAATCATAACTTATAATAGTAATAATTATAAATATAGAATATCATAAAGAGTAAAGATAAAAAAAACTTAAAAAATATTAATTTTTTTAATTTGATGTTTAATTTTTTTTGTTAAAATCAGTTACACTAAAAAACTTAATTAATTTTCTCAATTTTATATCAATTTTTTCATTATTTAAAAATAGATTTTCAATTCAACTCATCGATTCGGTTTTCATACATAATTTCATACATCTTTATATGAAAAGAATATTTGACAATTATTATAAAAAATAATTTAAACCATAAAATAGTAATTTATGTATAAAATTTAACTAAATAAAATGTTTTTTTTTCAATTTAATTATCTATTTAATAAGTTTTTTTTAAAATATAAGAAAATTTTGAAATTATCAATGTAAACATTTATATTAAAAATATATTTTTTACTTACTAATTTTTATTATATATTATTTAACAGCAAAAGCAGCAAAAAATCACTCAACTAAACTATAAAATATTGATATTATTTAAATTTTATATATTATTAAAACCTAACCAAATTAAATCTCAATTTTATTAACTTAAATAAATATTTAATAAAAAATATAAATTAAACCAAATCAGAAACCATACCTATTGGTTGGTGCCGGAACAATCTGAATTCTGCATTGCTCGGTACAGACAAAAGACGAGTACAATGATACGGACAAAACACTGTCACCATATTATTCATCTTCTATTTTCACGTCCAAAACCTTATTATTTGACTTGCTCCTCGTTGGAACCTACCCTCAAAATTAAAACTATGATAATGAAAAACATGGCAAGTTGATTCAACTTTACTTTTGGAGTTTGTTGGAACAAATTTTCTTTTTTCTTACTTGAAATTTTAATGAAACTATTTATATTAATTAGATTCTAAGGGATCATGATTGGTTGAAGATGATTACTTTTGTCTATAATGATTTGATTTAGTAAAAGATATCTATGGTTTCTAAAAAATATATTTTAATGTGATAATATATAAATCAAAAGGTCAACTTAAAAACTGTTGACATTACATATTAAATTTAATATCAGCATATGTTTTAGGCATCAAAATAAATCTTCAAGAATAAGATAGAGGAGTATATTAAGCCATAACTTGATCAGAATTCAAGGTATCACTTCAATATATATAATCAATTTATACAGAGAATTCACTATTCAAAAAGGGTAAACCACAAATGACCTAAACATTCTATCATGCAGTTACAGTAAAATTATATGATCCATCATCCATCTCTTTATTAATGAAGGATTCAACTCTAACTAAGTGCAGTAACTTTTGGAGAAACTCAAAACAATCTTTACAGCAATAAGAATTGATACAAGTCTCTCTTTGTCTAAAAAGAAAAGAATTTTAATCTTCACTCTGATTTGGATGAACCATTAATCTGAGTGTCAGTTTGATAGTACACAACATCTCCTGTGTCACTAACAAAATGGTCAGTCCTGAAGCTCCTTATTAACTCCCCAATAAGGTGAAAAGGAAGAGGAGCTGATTTCTTTGGTTCTCTATAATATTTGCCAAACACTGGCTTAGCTGCCTCAGTCTGCAAGAGAAGCAAAAACAACATTCAAACTCAACATCTTAAGTGAATCACTATGCATTGTTTGAACAAAGGTAGAGAGACACTCACAGCCTCAACCAAGTGATAGTGTGGAATTTGAGGAAATAGGTGATGAATGACATGAGTTCCAATGTCATGGTGAATGTTATTGATCCATCCATAATCACGATCAAGAGTAGTTAGACCTCCCCTAAGGTAGCTCCATTCCTGTTCAAAATTAAGGAGGATTAAGATGTAAATTAAATTGTATTATGAAAAAACTAACAGAGTAAATAGTGTATTCATTCATAATGTCATTTAATCACAAACAGTTAGTCATGTATGACATGTTTATCAACTTTTGTAATAATTATCTCATAACTCATACCAATAATAATTTCTGATTGATTGAAAATAGTTTAGAACTAAGCTCATAAACATAACATAAGTATGCCAAAAACACAAGTAGACCAGTCTTTTTCATAGGAAAAGAAAGACTCAAAAGAACGAAAGGTACCTTTCCACGATACCAAGGTAATTTGTCTTCATGGCCATGATGGTGCAAATAAGTCACCAAGTCCAACCACATAACGAATAACTTCAAATTCAAGAAAAGTCAAATTAGAACTTCATTCATTCTTGATTCCAAAAAGAAAAACATGTAAATGATGGAAAAGGGGAGGAAATTCACCACATAGGGAACACCATAAAGCTTAAGCAGTTGAATTGGACCCATTACAAACCCCAATCCAACAAGCAATCCCAGCATAGCAGCCCAACAAGCTGTGGAAGTAATAACATTTTTTCTTTCATTGGGAAGGAACAAATCACTGCTAGGGTCAAAGTGAGAACCAGTCTTCCCAGGACTCCTACCCCACTGGATTCAAGCATAAACAGCCACCATGTCAATTTTTTATCAAGACTTAAAGAGTAATTAATGTTCAAATTATGGTCAAACCATGTAGGCACAACAACTTACAAGGTACACTGGATATGCAAGCAGTGGAAAAGGGGCTGTGAATCTTAACATACGTGTTACAGTGTCCAAGCTCCTGAACAATCTTTCAGGCAACTGCAAGATTATTAACGAACCTCCTATGTCAGAAACTTTGATCACTTGAGGAAAAATAACTTGGAGCCAAATGGTATCTCTTAAAAACAAGAATAGTGAGTATCATCTCACCGGGTGCCAAGATTCATCATTTTCAACGTGGCCATGATTTTGGTGATGAGTCCTATGACTTATTCTCCTGTATAAGATTATGAATTTCAAACATGATTTTAAGTAGGTAAAATAAAAAATAGTATAAATATGTTTTTATTCTTCAAAATTCAGTTTTATACTCTATCAAAAGTAACCTGCTTTTAGCCCCTGGTAAACTAAAAACATGTCCTTTTTTTTTTTTTAGAATGTTGAGACTAAAAACATACTAAATTTGTATAAAAACTAAAACTAAATATACAGATATTTTGAAAGATATAAACATATTTAATTCTAAAATTTAAAAACCAGAAGCGTCAGCATACCATCCATGATATGGTACTAGAATTGAAGAATGTAGCAGATGCCCAACAACACTGTTCAATTTGGGGTTATTTGAAAAGCTTCCATGGCCACTGAGACACCCAAAACAACAAGTAAACTCATAAGTCAAAATTTTGGAACCCAATTTAGCACCGCCAAAATACAGCTTCATCCAAATTAGAACAAATGAAGAAAAGAAAAACAGTTATTACCAATCATGACCAAGAACAAACAGAGCCCAGAACATTGTGCCTTGAGCAGCCCAATAGAGAGGCCAAACCAGCCAATTATTGAGATAAGCAGCAGCAGCAGCCAATCCAAAGACAGCAATGACATCCCTCACGACATAGCTCATGGACTTCCAAGGGTCCTTCACCCAGCAATGCTTTGGAATCGCAGCCCTAATATCGGCCAAGTTGAACGGTGGGGGAGCACCAGGATCAAATTCTGGAAGCTTCTCATGCCGAACCCCATTAATCCCATTGATTACATCAACAAAATTCTTTTCCTCCTCTTCAGTGGAAGCAACCCTCAAAGGGGCACTTACTTTCAATCCCCAATTTCTCCCCCTAAGGTTACATCTCAAAGGTTGAAACTTAAGATCAGCCACACTTTTGTTTGTGTCCAAAAATCCAACCTTGGAGGAGCTGGACAAAACAGCTCCGGTTCTAGGTCTAGGAAATACTGGAGCAAGAGGCTTCATGCCACATTCTGATAATACCCAAGTTGCCATAGGACTCAAAATTTGAGCTTTAGAAAAAAGGTTTATATGGTTAGATTCCTGGTGTCTCGGTGAACTAAAATAGAAAAATCCTCAGAAAAATGAGAGACAAAGAAGAACACAAAAGATGAGAACCAGAAGGAGAAAAGAAAAATTGCCAGCAGAAGCAAAATTTCTACTCCTAAAATACTAAAATATTTGGTCATACAATACTCCAAAAAGCAACTTGCTTGCAAAATTTGATTAACAAACACTTGGGTGGTAGACAACTTGTGTTTCAGCCTCCAACAACAACCACAGAGAATATCAACCCTCTGTTTCTCTCAGGTCCTCAAGCTTTGCTATGAGGCTTTGAAGAATAAAGGGCCAAAAGGGTGTTGAAGGGAGGCTGAAAGAGGGTATCTTAGTTGCTCGGTAATGATTCTGAGAATCGGAGATGGAACTTAAATATAAGAGGGTGAAGCAAAAAAAGGATTTTGAGGATTTTGCACGGGCAATTTGGTCATTCAGAATTTTTTATGTGTTTCGTGTGTAGTATGTATGAGACCAACCCAATCCGTGTTTACTTTTACTAACTCGATTCTCGTAATAACGTATGCTTTTCATTCTTTCCGTGTATTTGACTTTTTAATGGCCGGTCATATTTTATGCCCCTCTTTTTTTTGTTATTTTTTTAAGGGAAATATATATTTTTAAAAAGGCAAAAACGATGAAAGTTAAAAGAAAATAAGAGTATACATATACATATACATTTTATTTTTTTTTATTTTAAAGGACAGTAAAATATAATAATATAAACTTTTCATGTGGTAGGATAAGATATGAGAAGTAATAAAAAAATATAGGATAAGTATTGCATTCTATTATATCTTATAGTTTGTTGCATCGTTATCTTATTCTTTATCTCGTTGTTATGTATTTTTTTTGAGAATTGAGAAATAATTAGAAAAGAAATATAATATTATAAAAAATATATATAAAATATATGTGTTATATTTTTTATGCAGCATATTATTATATCTTTATATAGAGTAATTTGGTCAAATAAATAAAATTATATTATTAACTAAAATATAAAAATTAATAATATTAAAATAGTTTTAAAAGAAAAATATTTTAAAAATAAATATTATTAAAAAAAATGTGTATATACATTACAATTCTTAGGAAACTAACTACATAAAAATTAGTTAAAAATATAATTCTGTAATTTAAAAAATAAAAAAATTATGTTATATTCTATCATTTTTTTACACTATTGTATCCTACTATCACTACTACTATTATTTATTATTTATTTATTACATGAGATACACAATATGTTCATACCTTAGGTTGCTTTTACGCTTACGTTATGTTTTGTTATATTTTAAAGTGGATCCAAAATATATTTTTTTTTCCTCGTTGATAACATAGATGAAAGAAAGGTTTTGGTCTTTGGTTTATATGAGTTTAGACGAGTAAAAAATGTTTTCTTGTGTTGTGTGCTTTGGCTATCGTAACAGTTTAAAGATAATTGTATATCGAATAGTTTCTTCATCATTTTTTTTTTCTTTCTTTATTTTTTAAAGTTACATATAATTAATTCTATATTTAGACTTAATCATTTATGTCTAATCTATAATTAACTATGAAATGCAACTATAATACATATTCGAATTTAGAAAATACTCAATAACTTCTTTTATATCTATGTTGTTTACATAATTTGAACAGTTTCTCATCTTATTCAAGTGATAGATATAAAAAATTAACTATCAAATAACTATAACTAATTATGCATACATATATACTTTAATTTATCACATAGTTATAATAAATTATGTATGTATATATACTTCGGTTTTGTCACATATCCATGGAGATTATAATATATACAATCCAAAATTTTCTTAATTATAAAATTTAAAAATAGAAAAAAGTGTAATAATAATTTATTATAAATTATCACACTTGCTTTAATTTAATTTAATTTTCTATTTTTGACAAACAGTTTTAAAGATTAATTTGTATTATTAGATTTAAAGTAAATAATTATTAAAAATTTATTTTAATATTTATTTTTACAATATATAATTTTTAATAAAATAATATAAAATTTGTTTTTATTTAAAAAAGGTTTATTAATCTATAAAATGGAACAATCCAAAAGATATAAACTAATGAACTAAATTTATGTAGACTATGTCATAATTTTTTTAATATATAATCTATTTACCAATTTCTTTTTTACAATCCTAGAAAGGATCTTACTTTTTATTTAGTTTTATTTTTTCCTCTTTGCACTCTAGAGATTTCTATGGCATTAAAATAAATGTGATTTGTTTGGCTTATTATTTTTCTCTTGATTTGATGGCAGAAAGTGAAAAGGTAAGTGGATTTGGAATGAGAACAGGTTTTGTTTGGATCATGGGACGGTGGTGTCTTATAATATTGATGTACCGATGTGAGACCCAATTTCACTAGACAAACATCCACGTGCCACACGTGATTTTTATGTGATTTGTTTACACTCTTTTTTCCTTTTCATTTCGTAAGTATTGGTCGGAATCAAAACATATGCCTCAAAATCCTCCACTTTATTTAGGAAGCTATGTCATTGCAAATTTCTCATCCAAACCAAATTCACAAACACTAATTAGTATTTTTAGAATATTGGTTAAGATAATAAATTTATTATACCAATAGATAAATTAATTTGTTCTTTTAATAAAATGAAGAGATTTGATAATTCATTAGTGAGATTCTATATCAAATTAGGCTCTATTTGTATTTTATTTATTCAGAAAATTATTCATTTTTTATATGCACTTACCTCAATTTTAATTTTAAAATAAATATTTATCACATTTTTTCTATCTTTTAAATATATATATATATATATATATATATACATATATTATAATTTTTATTAATTATTTTTTTTATTTTAAATATTACACTGACTAAAATTTAAACATGAAATAAAAAATTTAAATAAAAAATATTATTTTAATAGGAAAAATAGTTGGCTGGAATATGGTGGATGTCATGTATAGATGATGTTTGAATGAGATAAAACTAGTAAGTATCATTGTAATTACTTCAGATTATTTACTTTTATTATTTAATAAAGATTCGTTTAAATATTTCAGTTTTTCATAATACTAATTTTAAAACATATATGAACTTTTATCTTAACATTTTCAGCTGGGATTAAAAAAAAAAAAAAATTCTGAACCGAACCCCTCTATATTACTTTTACACTCCTTGAAGTTTGAAAAGTCGTCTGCAATCACCAAAAATTCATTTGGCCTCGGATTACTCAGAGATGTAAAATTCAATTTTTTTTTGTAAAGATTTAAACCAATTTGAATTTTTATAATTTTTTATTATAAAATTATTAAATATATGTAATAAAACCATTATTCAATGAAAAAAATATATTATAAAGATATCATACATAATTAAATTCATATTTTAATTATTTTTATATTTAATTTAAAAATATTTTAAATTATAAGATATTAATTAATTAACTTATAAAAAAATTATTTTACATTTTAATTTTAATAATAACCATTCTAATTAGTTTAAATTGTTTTCTGACTGTTAAATAAAAATTCACACCAAAATAAATCGATTGGATTTTAAATTTTTTAATTAAAATAAATAAATTTTGATCATTTTTTGAATTTAATTTTGGATTAGTATAATTTTGAATATTTTTATTCACTACATTATAAATCTAATAATAATAATAATAATAATAATAATAATAAAACTTTATAGAATTGAAAATAAAACAAATTTAATCTAATATACGATGTTAATTTTAAAATAATAATAATAATAATAATAATATACTCAATAAAGATATTTCTGTATATTGAATGAAAAATTTATACAAATATTTCTTTTATTACTGATTTTACTAAAAATTTGTATTTCAATAAGTAAATACAGCAACCTTCAACTTAAGGTTACTATTTTTTTTTTCGTTTTAAACAAACTTTTCAGTTATTCTCTCAAAACAGACCGATTATGTAATATTTTTATTTGTTAAAGGTTAAGATTAACAATACAGTGATGCAATTAAAGTCCGAATCTAAGAAAAATCACACTAGAAATATGATGGAATTTTGTTTAGACAAAAGGGATTTTGTTTTGATAAAAAAGGATGAATGGAGTAAAATATGATCATATTAGAATATAATATATATATATATATATTTCTTTTTTTAAATCGATTTTTAATGTTTTAGATAGATATATTAGTATTTTTTAATATAATATCAGACATGAAAATCCTATAAATTTTTCATTAAAATAAAATAATGTTATTTAATTTTGATAAATTTCTAAATCAGTTAATTGTTCTTCCGAATGGTTGAACCAACGGCACTAAAACGGTGATGAGACTACAACTCAAGATGACAATATCAGTGCATTCTGAGTAGACTTGCTTAAAGAGAGAAGATAAACCATAACAAGTTTGTTTTGGAATAAAAAGGAACATGTGAAAGAAACCATCATACATAAAAACGTGATTTAAAAAAAAAAAGAGTGAAACAAAGTAGCACGAATTAGAAAAGTCTATCAATTCCCAAAAAGGTGTTAGGCTCAACTTCTAAAGACATTATTACTCTTTTAATATTAACAATCTTAAACTATCAATTTGGAAACATTTAAACAATTTTTTTTTAAGATTTGCAACATGTAAACATCATGCCCCACCATATGATACCAATCTCTGTTCAAGTGTTTTCAGAAATCTATACTTCAGTCATTTTTACATTTTTCTAACAAAGATGACTCATTAAAAAAAGCCTATACATTGCATGTTACACATTTTATAAAGATATTTTAAAAGAGCAATTTTTTTTTTCTCTCGTTATACTCTTTATATCTACCACTATTGCACTATATGAAATTGATATTATTCAAATATCTCAAGTTGTGATAAAAAAAAAATTATGACAATTCTAGTTATAAAGAATTACTAACCACTATTTGAATTGCTTTTTCTACTCAGCAAACTCTGCAAATGTTATGTATTTTCCTTTTACTAGTTCTATGCAACAAATGAACAAAAACAACGCCAATAGCCACAAATATATACAAGAAAATAAATACAGACAATTCTACGGACAATCTTTTTCTAAATTTGCCACCATTTTCTCCTTTCCATGGTCTTGACAAGCTCATTTGCTAATGATGCAAAGTCTTCAGCTCCACTTTGCAGTTCTGCAGTGCGCTGGCTGATTCTCTAAATCAAATTGAACATTAAAACTTCATTTTGACACAGTTTATGAATCATTATAATGATACTTCAAGCATAAGATCTTAGTGGTCTTTTGTATACTAAAAGACTAGAGAGTGAACAAGTATAAAAACTGGTTGTCTAAAACAGGTTTAGTCTTTGAAAATACGACATTTTTTTGTATTGGTCTCCTTCAGTCCCTAAAAATTACAAAAATCATGTTTCTAATCCTACTAAGGGATTAAAACCATAAAGGATTTTCTAACAAAAAAGTGGATATTGTTAAATATAGCGGCTAAAAATAAACCAACTTTATACAAGGACTAAAACCAAAGAAGGTGCTTCCATATTTACTTCGAAGAATTAACAGCAGAATTTAATAGTAAGTCATGTGAGTTGGCATGATGAGATGAGATGAGATAATTTTCTACCTCTAATTTTTCCTGCCTCTCCATAAGCTTGTTTCTTGCTTGGGCAGCAGCTGAAGAAGCATCCTGAAATCAGATATTGGTTAAGATATTTAACTCATTGAAATCAATAGTGTTAGAAAGAGAAGAGAGAGGATGGACAACTTAGCATTACCCCAGTTTTTCTATAAGCAGCCATAATTTCTTCAGGTGTTCTAAGTCTTGGCTTTACATCATCCTTATTGGTACCACCTTCAAATAATTTCTCCCTATCTCCTAACTTCTCTGCAGGTAAAAGGAAGAAACTGTCACTAATCTTTGTAGTTAAAATATGATGTATGTTTTGAAAGTGATTTACCTTTCTGTTTGTTTTTAACATCAGGAGATGAAGTAGAGGCCTTAGTCATGGGCGGGTTGGGCTCATCTATTTCAATGTCATCTGTGCCCAAAGAGAGAATACTTTGAGGTTTTGTTTTTGACAATTCAAACTTCAAAGTGTGGAAGTGTTCTAATTATGAAACACAAAAAAAACACTACAAGTTTAAAAAAAATGTAAACCTATATCAAGCTCCACTTCTTTATTATCTGCGACTGCCACTGTTGGAAGGGGATCAGGCAATTGGGGCTTAAAGAAAATGTCTTCCAGATTACCAAAATTGGAGGCTGAACTTCTCGTCACATCTGTTTGAGAGGTTTTTCCTCCTTTAAGTCCTTTGACAATACCACCTAGAATCCCTGGCACCATGGTCTGTACCAAAATGGTTAAGCTAATTAAACAACCTTTTAATGGTGTGAACATTAGGATCCAAAAATATGGAAAATCAAAGAGCCTCAAACCTGCTTTTTCTTCTGATTTGTAGAGAATCTAAAGGCAGCATCAGCAGCGGCTGCAAGAACCTTGTCATGAAGACAAGGCAGATGCTCCGGATTACTAAAGCAGAATAGAAATGTTCGTCAACTTTTCCTTCCTAATTACTACATTTTAACCAAAAGTCCACAATGTTATCGCTTCACTACACGTTAACAAAGATACCTGAATTCGTTTTCCCCGGCCAGTAATGAGATTAATGCCAATTCAGAACTGTTAGCCTGTAAGTTATGAATATAAGAAGGGAGCTTTGAAGACCAAAAGTTGCAATTTGACTTGAATGCTTTCACTTCAATACTCAAATATGTTTTCCAGTACCATTATAAAGATAGGGAGCAGAAGCAGAAATGAAATTCTTGACAATTTCAAAGTTTTAGAGAGAATTGTACCAGCACTATCTGTCCATAATCATCAGAACACATGGTTTTATCCATATTCACTTTATAATTCCATCTTAAAATTGACAATAAAGAGATTTCTGCAACCAAATGCAAATCTGGCAAAGACCTGTCCAAAGACAATAGCAAAATAATCCAATAATTTATTATTTCAAAGAAAATTTGATTTGCTAGTATCCATATTGTCTTATTTAAAATACTTGCCCAACCCTTCAGAAACAGAAGAAGAAAAAACAACACTAGTGCTCTCACCTGATTTCAAATGCTCCGGTCTGAAGCAATGATAGTAGCCCATAAACTTTATCATCCTTCTTAAAAATTGAAGTCCAGTAAGAAGATTTAGAGTGTTTCACTTTATGAATTGGTTTTTTATATCCCTGTAAAGAATTATTGTATATGTCAAATTCATTTGCATACAGACTTATGATGAGAAAGCACATGTGAAGTGATTAATGAACTAAAGAACCTGTATCAAAGATTTTGCCGAGTATAAGCGCAATGAATTCTCACAGCATAGCAGAACAAGTGGATCCAACATTAAATCTTCAGAATGTGAGGCTTCTGAAGATGAAACATCAGCCTCTGACGAATTTACCCTAGCTGATAAGAGTTCTTCTTTTTCATCAGGGCTAGCATCAGAAGTATTCTTCAAGAGTTCATCCCGCAGCTTGTCATTTGATGCTTCAGTGGTTGAGATGCTACCCTCTGAGGTAGAAATATCAGTTAGAATTTTCAATGATATTTAAAGTGCAATAAAACTGAAAATATGCATTGTGTTCTTGATGAAACTTGTACTTGCCTATAACATACATTGAAATTGCAGTCGATTCCTTCACATGTAATGGTCGACTGGATATCATTTTACCACTATTTCCATCAACTATGTTAATTTTCGAATCTTGGGATAACACAAATAGTATTTCTTCAAGAGAGTTGCCTGAAGCTGTATCTTGTTTTAAATTCACATAACTTTGAAAAAAAGCTTCTTGTTTCCAAAGCAATGAAGTAATTGGAGAGGTAGAGCAAGGTGCACCATCAATCAAGAACAAAACTGACAATGAAGTCATATTACAGACTGCAACCTGGAAAGAAGCAATTTATCAAGATGTATCAATCGAGAGATCTCCCACTTCCAGTTACGGTCAAGTAATGAAAGCAATGAGAATTAACAAGTATTCAGATGATACCCACACGACCACTTGAAAATCCAATAGCAAGTTTGGTTCCAGAATTTGCAAATGATAATGCTTGTACTGAAGAATCCATAAGAGAAAAGACAGCACTACAATGAGGCCCTTTTCCTTGTGGAATATCATGGACTGCAAAACATGTTTCATAAATCACAAAATAATGAGTCAAGGGGTAAGAATTTCTTTTTTCTGCATAGATATCTTTGAAACACAAGTAACACGCGAGGGGGGAAAAACTCAAACAAAGATGATAGGGTTCCATTATGACAGACATCTAGGGATCACCTTCACTTTTTGATTGAGTGACAAAATGGAGATTTTGCCCATTGGAGTGGCCTTTGAGGTTATAAATGCGAACCTATTAAAGTTGTCACAGCAAAGGAGTTAAGCACAGAAAGTATTGTATTGTGTAAGATAGATTGACATATTAAGAAAGATATCTGACAAGACCACATTCATTGCCCACGGCCAAGAGTAAGGAGACAGAGCAGAAGTCCAATTTTGTCACTTGAGCATCTGAACCGGCCACTTTTGTGCCATTCACCTACCAAACAAACAAGATAATTGTGTGACAAAAGACAAATTATATATCAATGTAAGGACGTTGTTTTTCTTTGAATTTATTTGGGGACAAAATAGTAATGCATACCGCTCCCTCTATGTAGCAAATATAAGATAAGACTGCATGAGTGGCATCACACACAAGGACAGATCCATTAGAATAACCCACAAAATAAACTCTCTCAACCTCAGCACCTTTTATTGTGGACAGCTGACTGGGAACACCCCCAGTCAATGGCCAATTTGAAGGAGCAGATCCAGGCCTCAAGCCAGTTCTCAAAGATGAAGCAACCTAAGATAAATTGAAATAAGTAGATTAAAAAAATAAAATAAACAAAGATTAGCTGCAAGGTGTGACAGAAATTACAGGCGAACAAAAAAGTTACCTCAGTGAGAATTTTTGATGAATTTGACTTACTGGGCAACCTGATAAGTTTTGCAACAGTCAAAGATGGATCAGCCATAGGTACTAGCACTGGAAATTCCACAGCAGGCACAGATGGTGTCCTCTTCTGCTGAGATGTCAATGTGGACAAGCTATCATTATTATACAAATGTAGTTGTCCAGGATTTGTCAGTACAAAAACTTCATCATTGCTGCTCAACCCTATTGTTCCAGGGCTTGGCAGTAAAGTCAAGTCTGCAAAAGAACCACTAAGTGTAAGGTCTGCTCTATTAGTGCATCTTACAGACTCCATCCCAGATGACCATTCAAGAGTTAAAACCTGTAATGAAGAGAGGCATTTGAAAGTTTAGGGGAACATTACTGACATGCTAAGGAAACATTTTAACAAGAAGAAACACTGCCCATCAAGCAATGGTAACAAGTGACTAGAAATCCCTACAACAACATCAACATGATAATTTTTCAATATAACCAGGGCTTAAACATTACCATTTAAACTAACAGAAGATATGATACAAAAATAATGAAAACATCTCAGTGGAGATCCTCAATATAGTAATCGGATGATAAGCCTACATTAAATATCAATATTTTTTGAAGTTTATATAGCCAAGGTGGTGATTAACCAGGTTTATAAAATCAACAGGAATTTTCCATTATTTCATATATCCTGCAAAATCTAAGTAAAATACTACTTCTATACTTTGAGATGTTAGGAATGAGGAAACAATACAAGAACTTTTCAACCACAACATTGGACCAATTTTGAATGTATCATATGTTGTATAATCTGTATAGTTTATCATAATTCAGAGGCAATTGGCAATAAAACTTATAGAAGTCAATTTAAAAATTAATGATAAAGAGATATAAACAAATAACTTACAGTCAGAACTTCTTCAGATCCAATTTCGTCACCACCATAGACAAACAACTGCCCACTATCACTTTGGGATTTATAGCTGTCTGACCATTGTAAGACAATGACCGGGAGTCTTCTTTCTGCAGTTGAAAGTTGTAGCTTAACAACATCCTTAGAAGATGTTTGTTGACCTTTCGAAGGTGCTGCAGATGACAAGTTCCAAAGAAGGATATCTCCATCTAAGTATCCCACAGCAAGAATGGACCCAGTGGAAGATGCCCAGCAAAGAGCAGTTATCTCTTTGTCTCCCATATTTTGTTCTATAACAGTAGCTGGAAGATTAGCCCCCGTTTCAGTAGAAGGGATAACATCTTCATCCTTCAATTGGAGATCTTTTCCGCCACCAAGGAACACAATTCGAGCTTCAGAAACATCCCAAAGAATAAGCAACCCGTCCTCAAATGCAATCAAGAGTCTGCAAAATATAAAAGAATTCATTCTTCATCAAATTGAATTTTTTTTTTACTCAACTATGGAATATTAGATTTTAGACAAGTATATGGATTGTGCTAGTAAAGGAAGATATAAAAATGATAAAATAAAATTGTGATTTGGGAAACCCACCCTTTAAAGTTAGCTATTATGGGGGAAATTCAAATACTTAAATACTTCACCTGTACTACTTAATGTGGGACTTAGACACTCCAAAATACCCAAGTTTACATTGCCCATTAGAGCCGGCTGATGACTTGACAACTTTCACTCTGCAACACTTGACATTGTAGCACTTAACTCAACTTCCTCCTTGGTCAAAACCCTCCACCTCTGTAGGCAACTCTTTCCAAGGCATCAACAACCAGGTTTGATACTAACTGATAAGCATCCATACATTTGGAGCACCCACCCTTAAACGATTAAGGAGGGAGAACCAAACACTTAAACATTCTACTGAGCATCTCATACTATTCGAATGTGGGGCTTAGGCATCCCACAATATTCAAGTCTTTATACAAAAACTCCAGAATCCTTCACAAGCAAACAACCACAACTCATATAGAAAGGGACACGAGTCACACAACTGTATAACAAATACTGATGGAAATATTTTCTGTCTTGAAAGATGTTCACCCATCATTTCAGATACAGTTCAAAGATTTTGATACATATAACTTAGAATACATACTCATGAAATCATGCAGTGTTGTTTCTAAGAATATATACTGCTATGACAAATTACACAAACTGCTTTGGAGGTTGGCTCTGCATTTTTCATCAAATGTTTGTAGTAAATTTTAAATTCTGAGAAATCAATTGACATGATATAGATAGTGACAATTAAAAATATATATGTTAAACCATGAAGCTATACTCTAATTTTAGAATATCCTATTTTCCAATTGGCACTGTTCGGGTAAGTCAATAATTAGCTATCAAGTAAAAATTCCAATTTACAAATTTTCCAGAAAGAGATGTAAGGGTAAAATGCTGTATGAGCTACTTATTATCTTGCCTGTTCCCAGATGAATAAGGGTGTAAAAGAATTCCAATGATTGGTTGTACACTGGCATCTGAAAATCCTGCAGCTTCTGCCAGAGAGAATAAAACAATGACAATGAGCAATTTGTAAATCAAAGAAAATAAAATAAGTTTAAATTCTGAAAGACAGAGGTACGAATCAACTTGAGATATTTGAATATAATGTTTATATAAGATATATATTGCAATGTGACAGCATCGCTTATCTTAGTGCTGACCATATTTCCCTCATTCAAAGAGCCAAACATAATTTCTATGTGGAAAATAAGATTGTTAGGCACTGAAGCAAGTCTACACTAGGAGAAACAAAGAGGAGGGTAAGGGATCCATTCTCCATAGTGAAAAGGTGAGAGTAATGAAAGAATATTTACTTGTGAGCCCAAATTGCAGATGGACTCTGAGAGCATAAAGATCGGACAGAGTGTAGAATGGAATAGAGAAAAAGATCCTGGTATGATTAGAGGGAGAGAGATGAACATTTAAAAGGAAAGATAGGGTCACGAGGAGGAAAACAGAACTTTGAGAGAAGGTTGGTGGCTATTGGCCTGGCGGTAGATTGTTTTGCAGCCTCTGAGTATCTTTTTTCATCAATCTTGCTACTGTTTTCTGCGCTTTCCTGAGAAGATTTTACGATCGTATGGAGCTAAGCTATGCTCCCTTTCTGTTGTATAAATAATACCCAGTGATTTTAGTTCCTACCGTATGCAATATGACTTCAGAAAATGCAATGTAAGCATTTGATGCATCCAATGATTAAAAGAGCATATAAGGAATTAATAGACAAGGGAGGGAACAAAATGAATTCATAATTATGCACTAAAAATACAAAGTCAGTAGTAGTTTGGCAGTTACAGAGTGAGAATTAAGTCGAGCGTTAGTGTGCTCTCAAACACACCCTGTGTACTGGAAATTCGTGAGGTTTCCACAGTGAACTTTTTGAATAAAAACAATCTTGGGTCAATATTCATTTCCTTCAATTCTGTCATTCTGTCATTGTATTTCCATTTTTCACCAGTTAAGTCTATTGGTACTGTCAATCAATCATCAGAACAAAAGACCAAAAAACTAAAACTAAAACTAAAAATAAATTACCCCTTAGGAATTTTGCAGACAAATTATATGATGACTTCAAAAGTTGTCCTTCCTCAGCTTCAAACTTTATCACGGAAAATAAGCCATGCTGATCCCCAACATAACTGAACATTATAACAAGTAATGTTACTAATTAAGTGCCATGTAAATGACCATTTACCAGCTAGTTAACACTAGGAAGAAGAGGCAAAATATAGAGATTTACTGCATATAAGTATTCCATTAACGTACATGAAATGTGAACCGCTGACTACAGAAAAAGCTGTAATATCGGATTCCCATTGTAAAGAGCAAACAAGGCTCCGGCTCTCAAGATTCCAAACCTGCCAAAATTGTTAGGAAAATTATAAAGGCTAACTAAATGGTCAACATTCTAAGCCTTAACTAAAATAATCAAGGAACTCTAAGTCAGTCACTTTACTGATATCGACCATAACTTGACATGCTAAAGGCTCGGTTATGAAAATCACACATATTACTTTCCATTCTACAATTAATGATGAATGGGAAAAAAAGAAGCGAGAAAAGGAAAACAATCACTAAACTAAGAGATATCAATGTTGCAACACAAGCTGAAAGTGAAATGTTAGCCTATTTAGGGAGAGTTTAGGAGTTTAGAACTGATGAAAACCACAATATTCAGCCTAGTTAGGGGGAAAGTTGTTAGAAAATGTATCTACACAAGCTGAAAGTGAAATGTTAGCCTATTTAGGGAGAGTTTAGGAGTTTAGAACTGATGAAAACCACAATATTCAGCCTAGTTAGGGGGAAAGTTGTTAGAAAATGTATCTACACAAGCAGAAAGTGAAATGTAGAAAAATATTTACCTGGATATCATTGTCATTTAAGACCCCAACTAAATGCCCCTGGTTTTGCAGGAACTGCGAGTGCCAAAAGAATCAGAGGATCAACATGCTACTCACATGAGCTTAGATAGCAAAAAATTTGTTGTGCAACATAGAAATCCAAAAGGATCTAAACTGCATATCAATTTAAGAAGTTCAATGACAATTACCTCCAAGTATTTGTAAGGTAATTGCTTTGGAGAAACCAAAAGTCCTTCTATATTATCACCACCTATCACCTTAAGTCTTCCATCCCTGCCATTATGCTACCCAATATAAGCAATCAAATTCTCACATCCTATAATGACATCCATTTGCCAGCTATGATTAAATAATGGTATATGGCTGGTGTCAAGCATCATAACATTTGAAGAATCATGTACTATTCATTATGATAAGAGTCATGTCATCACCACATTTGCTGGCTAAACATGTAAAGAATTATGTCAGTTTGACTTTCAATTAACAGAATGACTGCTTCTTATTGTTATGTTTGTGCACATTTTTAACTGAAAGAGCCAAATAAATGTCAATACAAAAAGTGAATTTAGGCATTACATCACCCTTCCTCCCATACACCCTAACAAGAACTGAATTTCATATCAAGGATAGTTAGAATAACCCACCAAGACTTTCCCCCCCTAAAATTCTGAATTCACTTTGATGAAATAAAATTTGTCTATGCAATGCGAGCAGTTCAGACTGAAATACTAAACCGCCATAGAACTAATGAAAAAGACATAAGGGGAACGTCAAATTACTTATCACGGATATTAGAATAACCCACGAAAACCTTATTCTAAACTGTTGAATCCACTGTCGAATCCGTTTTCCTCTTTAACCCATTACTAAACAATTAAGTACGATGAATATATATATTTTTTATATATATAAACCACTTGTATCCTCTATCAGAGACAATCCTACTATTTGAGTATGGTCAGGACCATTCTTAGACAATAAATGGAAAATTATTTAACATTATTGTAACTCACAGATACTATACCATACCCAATTAATAAAAATAATAACAATGAACAACAAAAACATGGAGAGAACTGACAAAGTCCCAATAGCCAAAAGTCGCTGAATGGGGTCAAAGGCGAGAATTGAAGCAGTGGATGGAATGCCATAGTGAATCACAATTCTGGGATCCAACTCACTTCCCTGCAACCCACCATGCTGCAACTTATGCTGAACAAAAATCAACCCAAACCCAGAAAAAAAAAATCATGACGAGAAACAGTAAAGGAAACCCAAAAGAAAAACAATGAAGTTGGATGAGAAAGATAGGATTTGTATATTCGATTTTTTACTTTACGTTGGAATGGTGCAGCAGAGCCTTGTCAAACAGCCTCTTTGCAAACATGGTTGCGATGATGTTGTTGTTGGCGTGCGTATGTTGTCTTCCACAGTCTGATTTGCTTTGTTGAACTGATGATCATTCCAATGCTTCGTATTTTTCTCTATGGATCAAAAATAAAAACTTCTCTATAAAAAAGAAAAAATTCTTCAGCTCATCTGCTGGTCTTCGGTCAATGTAATGGTTCGTCACTCCTTTAAATTTTGCTAATGATATAATCTTAAAGTTTAATAAATTTAATTATTATGTTAGTTTCAAAACGGGGATGTAGCTCAGATGGTAGAGCGCTCGCTTAGCATGCGAGAGGTACGGGGATCGATACCCCGCATCTCCAAATTTTTGTATTTTTATTTTGTATTTTTGTGACTTTGAGGTTTTTAAAACTATGGCAAACATTTAAAATACCATCAGCATATAAAAACAAAGTAATATTTGATTTACAAAAATAACTAATTAATATTTGAAATATGTCAAAGAAGCTTCTAAATATTACTAAAAAAATTACTAAAAATGGGTCTTCATAAGTATAAATTGATTTTTACTATTATCGTTAATATTATAAAAATTGACTCAAACTAATTGGTGGAATTAATTGGGTTGGAATGACACCTGCTGGTTAATTGGCTTTGTGATATGCAACAACCAACACACAGGATTCTACACACAGGAAAACAAGAAGTGAAGTATTTGTGTTCTTGCACAACCCAATGCAACCCAATTTGTTAATAAAGAATTTACTTTAATAATTATGCTTTTTAACAAGTTGATGCCATGAGTGTTACCCTAAAACTCTACATGATGAACAATCAAATGATGCATAAGCAACAATAAAACTAACACATGATTGCTAGTTATGCACATGTGGAAGAACATGGGAGGAAAAAATAACTTGGGAGGAAAAGTTAATGGATGACATTTTTCAAATTAGCAAAAGTGTTTAATTTTCTTGGTACATTGACTGGAATATAAACAGAACTATTCTAGAGTTACAAAGATAGATCATTATGTCTCTTTTTTTGGTAACATAAATTCCTTCTTGTTAAAATGTAATTCAATTTATAATTTAGTTTGACTTTCTGTTTGAAAAACAATATATAAATAACAGACGCATATACAATAAATAATAGAGACATGTTATTCATTTACGTAAACTCTTTCTTTTGTTCTCTCTCGCCTCAACAATTGGTATCAAGAGCATAAGTTCGAAGGGCCGAGCTGCACAAGAACAATATGGCAACGTCATTTGCTTCCACTCCTACCAATCTTCCAATTCTCACAACGAAGAATTATGACAATTGGAAAATACAGATACAAGTGATTTTGAGGTATCAAGGAGTATGGAATCTTGTTGAAAAAGGTTGCAAGTTGACTGGTGAAGGTGGAATGGAAGCTCATAAAGTTGCAGATATCGAGATCAAAAAGAAAGATTGCAAGACCTTATATATCTTGCATCAAAGTGTTGATGCATCAAATTTTGAAAAGATTTCGAAGGCTGAGACATCCAAGGAGGCCCGAGACATTCTTGAATTGGTCCATGGTGGTGTAACGAAGACCAAGAAGGTGAGGCTTCAAACGCTGCGACGTCAATACGAACTTCCATCGATGGAAAGCAACGAGCAGGTGGTTGATTACATCACTCGTGTTCAAACGATGGTGAACATTATGAAGGGTCTTGGAGAGAAGATGTATGAGCTGCAGGTGATTGAGAAGGTGTTACATACACTACCAACGAAGTTCGATCATATAGTAGTTGCGATAGAAGAGTCAAAGAATCTTGAAAATTTGAGTCTTGATGAACTTCAAGGTTCCTTGGAGTCACACGAATTAAGGCTAATTAAAAGGGGAGAAGAGCGAAAGAATGAGCAAGCTCTTCAGGCTCAGATCAACACAAACGCAACGTTTAAGAAGAAGTCCAAGAACAAAGGAAAATAGAGGCAAGAAATGAACAAAGAGGATGCAAAAGAGACTCAAGACAACAAGCACACAGTAGCGTCTCAGAAAGGGAAAAGAAGTAATTTTGACAACAAAAAGGTGAAATGTTACAACTGTAATAAGATGGGACACATTGCCAAGTATTGCAAGCAATATAATCCAAGAAGAGATGAAGCCCCATTGGCTCAAGAAGAGGACGATGACCAGGAACAAGTTTTGTTAATGGCAACTACTGTCCAAACAGAATGAATCGAAGATAATTGTTGGTATCTTGACACTGGATGCTCAACACACATGACGGGAAGGAAGGATTGGTTCACAAGTCTTGACGAATCAATTAAAAGCAAGGTCAAGCTCTCATCACCGATGTCTTGTTCGTTCCTGGAATGAAGAACAATCTATTAAGCCTAGGCCAACTATTGGAGAAAGGATACTTCACTAGACTTGAAAATAAAATGCTCAGTGTGTACGATAAACACAATCATTTGATAATGAAGTCACCTCTTACAAAGAGTCGAACCTTCAAGGTAAAAATTGATGTAGTAGATCAAGAATGCTTTGCGGTTGCAGTAAAGAAGGAGGAATGACTTTGGCATTATCGTTTTGGGCACCTCAATTTCAGAGATTTGCAAAACCTGAAATCCAAAGACATGGTGCGTGGCTTACCTTATATATCTCCACCTAACGAAGTGTGTAGTGATTGCATGGAATCCAAGCAGCCTAGGAACTCTTTCCAACAACATATTTCATCAAAACATAAAGAAAAATTACAAGTCGTCTATTTAGATGTCTGCGGGCCTATTCAAACTGAATCCCTTGGTGGTAATAGATACTTCGTCTCCTTCATTGATGACTTTTCCAAAAAGTTATGGGTATATTTGATTAAAAGAAAGAATGAAGTATTAGAAATATTTCAAAAATTCAAACCTATGGTGGAACGATGTAGTGACCAGTCGATCAAAATATCGAGGACAAACGGTGAAGGTGAGTATACGTCCAAGGAGTTTGAAAGGTTTTGTGAAAAGGAAGGTATTGAGCATGAAATCACCCTTCCATACACACCATAACACAATGAAATAGCAGAAAGAAGGAATCGAACCATCATGAATATGGTACGTAGCATGCTAAAGACTAAACAACTACCGAAGTATCTATGGGGTGAGCCACCTAAGAGTGTTCAGATTAATCTGCTATAAACATGTACCTGAACAATTGAGAAGAAAGTTGGACGACAAAGGAGAGAAGATGATTTTGTTAGGATATCATCGAACAGATGGATATAAACTGTTCAATCCCATCACCAAGCAAATTGTGACAAGTAGGGACGTGATATTTGATGAGTCGAAGGGATGGAACTTGGAGTTGAATGCGGATGAACGATACAGTCAGGTTATAATTGATTCAAGTGAGAATGAAACTAACGAAGATCCCAACGAAGAATCAGGAGGAGCGTCTTCGTTCAATGTTCTAAGAAGATCTTTAAGAGATACTAGGATTCCATATAGGTTTAAAGGTTTCGAGATAATATCTGATGCTGATGTGAATGAAGACGGAGACATAGTCCATTTTGCTCTGTTCTCTGAAACTTAACCAGTTACTTGTGAAGAAACTATTTCGAATAACAAATGGATTGATGCGATGAAGGATGAGCTTCGATCCATTAAGAAAAACCAAGTGTGGGAACTAGTGTCTCTACCTCAGGACAAGATACCAATCAGTTTAAGGTGGGTTTTCAAAACCAAAACTGATCCCACAGGGAAGATAGTGAAGCATAAAGCGAGATTAGTTGTACGTGGCTTTCTTCAGAAATTTGACATCGACTACAAGGAAAAATTTGCTCCAGTAGCCAGGATTGAAACAATACGAAAATAGTGGTCGCAAATGCCAGTTCTAAAGGATGGATCATGTGTCAGTTGGACGTAAAATCTGCGTTCTTGAATGGACCTCTAGAAGAAGAAGTTTATGTATCACAGCCTCCTGGGTTCGAACTTGAAGGACAGGAAGCTAAGGTGTATAAACTAAAGAGAGCCCTCTACGGACTCAAACAAGTGCCGAGAGCATGGAATCGAAGGATTGATGCTTACATGCTACAACTCGGATTCATCAGATGCACTTGTGAATTTAGAGTATATGTTCGCCAAAATCAATAAGTGGTCATCGTGTGTCTGTACGTTGATGATCTTCTAATTACAGGCAACCATGTCGAAGATGTTGAAACAGTCAAGAGGAAATTGATGCATGAATTTGAAATGACGGACCTAGGAGAATTGTCATACTTTCTAGGATTTGAATTCACAAAGGTAAGAGAAGGATTGATGATGCACCAGAGGCGATATGCGATGGAGGTGTTGAAGAGATTCAACATGTTGAACTGCAATCCAACGGCTACTCCATCCGAGACCGGTTTAATATTGGAGAAAGAAGGGACTGAAGAACCTGTTGATGAAACTGTGTATAAGAAGATTGTGGGATCCTTACGGTATCTTTGTCACACACGACCAAACATAGAATTCTCTGTCGGAGTTGTGTCACGATTCGTGCAGAACCCAAGGGCACCTCATCTTCTTGCTGCCAAATGAATCCTCAGATATGTCAAAGGAACTATGTCAAGTGGTATCTTGTTTCCACGGAACAACATGACAAACAAAATTGAAATTGTTGGGTTCTCGGATGCAGACTGGGGAGGTGGTAAAAGTATGGCTGGTTTTGTGTTCTTTGTTGAAAGATCTCCTATCTCGTGGAGTTTGAAGAAAGAACCTGTGGTAGCTTTGTCCACGTGCGAAGCGGAGTAGATAGCTCCTGCCATGTGTGCTTGTAAGACTATGTGGTTAGACAAACTGCTCATTGAGTTGAAGCAGAAAGGTGATGAAGGAATAAAGATTTTCATTGATAACAAGTCAACGATAAGCTTGTCAAAGAATCCAGTAGCTCATGAAAAAATTAAACATATTGAAACTAAGTTTCACTACTTGAGAGACCAAGTGAATAAAAAGGAGTTAGAACTTGTGCACTGCAACACTCAAGATTAAGTGACAGACATGTTCACTAAAGCTACCAAGGGAGACAGGTTTCGA